GAGCCCTGTGCTGTAGGATGCCCATGTCTCTTGCAGCTGCTCTGTAGGCAGTGTGGCAGGGGGAAGGTGAAGTGAGTGTCGGTTTCATTTCTCTGCTCTGAAGTCTGAAGAAATGGAAATTGGTTCCCCATAGCAGAGATATCAGTAGTCATCATCCCTTTCTGCTTTTGTGCCACGAACCAGTGAGTGAGATCAACTCAGCAAAGTCTTCTAGGGCACTCGGAAGGGACTTTGCTTAGTTGCAGAGATACCCTGAAGTGCCAGGACTCAAGTGAATGAGCTTGTGTCACAAACAGCCTGATTTGCAGCACCACAGGCAGGACTGGTCTCTGCTGGAGAAGGCACATCCCTGGAGGTAAACCCCCTCCCTTCCAGAGGGAAACTGGGAATGATGCTCTCTAGCCTGTGTGCAATCTTGATTTGAGATGGAAATGAGGGGTTGCCTGTGTTCAGTTCTATCTTCGTCTTTTCTGCTCCTCATGCACACACCCTCCACTGTGCCAAACCACTGCGTTGGTGTTTTACTTTTTCAGGACAATGCAGTCATTAAGTGAAGCCTGTTGGGAGAAATCTGTTCTGCCTTAGAAGTGAGATGCCCTTCTCTTTTGTAAGCTCCCAGATGATTCTTAATGTAATTACTTTCGATCGTATGATAGCAAGTTAATTTCTCTGCTGTAAGCAAAATCAGGAGGAATGCCACTTGAGCAGGGTGGGAAGGTTTTACTGTTTGGTGTATTTCAGGACTTTAGCAGGTAAGGATGACAGGACCCTTTAGGATCTGGGCGATTCTAGCTGCAGCTAGTTATCATTACTCGGTTGACAAGCAGCAGTGTGATGAAAAAGACAAAGATTTTTCTCTGGCTCTAGCTTTTTCTGCTAGTTCATCTTTCATGTTAAGTATTTCTCAAAGGTATAAGCTTTACACTCAATTCTCCTTAAATACCTTCTGGTTACACAAACCCATCTTTCCTTACTGGAGATTGATGCAAAAGCACATGCATGGGGAAGTTTGTCTGTGTTTCCATCTAGCATGATGGGAGTCCTTAGTCTGACAGAAGGCATGTCTGGTGCCAGAGCTGAAGGACTCAGGTGTAAGGCTGAGATCTTTGTCAAAAGGAGGCTGTTCTATTTAAACTTCAGATCTTATGCATTTTGTGAAGAACAACTGGAGGGTAAATGGACACTAGTCCTTTTTCTGGCTAGTTTTGTGCTATGGTTTGTAAACATTCACACGTCTATGTGAATTGAAGATTTTCTTCTCTTTAGTTTGCATGTTATGTGTACTGGGCAAAGTCCTGGGCACCCTGTTCTAGTTGACCCAGCTTGAGCAGGAGCTTGGGCTAGAAGATGCCAAGAGGTGTCTTCCAGTCTCAGCAGTTCTGTGATTTGCATGCTGTGAAAGAAGACATTATCTAGTGGGATCTTTGATGTGGAGATCAACAGCTACAACAGTGCCGTAATTCTGAGTTTGTGAGGAAAACGAGGCTGTGCTGTCTCAACAAAAGTAAATCTGTGGCTAATACAAGACAGGGACTGTACAAGGGAGGCTGGAGGCCTAAACACAATACTGCTGTGTTTAGAGGAGTGTTTTTGAAGAGAGGAAAGCATTACTGTTAAAGCCTAGGAAGAGTCAAGAGAGAGAACCTCTATCTCCAACTAGTCAGAACATTAGTCTTTGATTCCCTATATCTTTATAGTTTCTGGAAATTCTTGTTATCCATACAGACAGTCCTTTTTTGACCTTCCATCAAGGTTTGCCTCTGTGGTGTATTATGGCAAGGAGATACATGTGCAGAATTTCAGCTGTGAAAGATTAATGGTTAGTCTGATATGAACCATGGTTCTCTGCTAGGGAACATGGGAGCTAGGGTCTCATACAGAGGAGCTTGAGAGACTTCAGTTCCCACAACCAGGATGTAATTTGTGGAAGGATTTATTAATTAAAAGGGAATGTAATAATACTAAAATAGAAGACCTTGCTAAATGACAAATGGGAGGAAAATTATTTTGTCTCCAGTTGAAAGATGTGAAGACCAAGCAGAGGGCATTTGCATGTACGCAACCCACACGAAATCAGAGCTGAGTGGATGTCTAGAAGACAGTCCAGGTCGTGGACATCAGAGGCAATGTGACTTCTGAGTCTTGTCATCTCTTCATTCATGCGCATAACGCACAAATGCTGGATTTTAAGGCTTTTTGACTGGTAGCTTGTGATGTATATTATGGAAGTATTCTAATTTCTGAAGGTGTTGGCTAGAACAAGCTTATAATGACAGCAGTGTGAATAATGGGAGAAACCAAGTCTGAATGTTGAGAGAAGTGTGCTACTGGTACGTTCTTTTTCTAAAAGAATAAGTGGGTTGATAGGTTTCTCTAATTGCCTTGATTCTCAAAAGCACTTGATATGTTGCTTGTAAAAACCATAGATGGTTAAAGAGCAAATGCTTACTTTTCCATGGCTAGAATCAGGAGGATGATTACCAAGACTGTGGGATTCCCTTTTTTCCATGAAGCCTTGCATATTGCTGTACCTGTTTAATTCCCCTGGGATATACTATGGGACTAAACCCACAGACTCGGCGTCGTCTTCATTGAAAAGGATTTCTCTCACAGGTGCTCTGAACAAAACCTCTATAGAAATGTTTGAGGTAAATCACAGAGGATTAGTCTTGGGCTGCGTGTGGGACTGGGGAAGACTTGGCTGAGGAGGGTTATCCATATGAATCTAGGGGCTACCAAATTGCACTTGTACAGAGAAATGTATTTTGGAAGCGCAGGACAGGTAAACTGAGACCTTCAAAATGTCAATCATTGACTCAAATCCTACTCCAGTCTCAAGCCAGCGACATTGTGCAGTAGCTCTTTTACCTGCATGTGCTAGATGTCATTGCCTCTTTTTTGGAAGCAGTGCCATGCCACATATTGACATTTACATAGGAGAAAAACTGGAACTGATAGGTTTCCCACACAGAGCAGTTAGACCTCACTGAAAACCCCGTCACATCCAAATGAAAGGGTTTTATGTGGGAAAGAGCCACAGACTAAGGTCAATACCTCTTGAGTTTGAATTGGAGCCTTAGCTTTTGTAACAAAGACAGGACCACTGTCTGTCTGTACAGCAGCTAGCACAATGGCACCTCAGTGTCAGCTGTCCCCTCTGTGAACTACCATGGCACAAACAAGGTATTATACCTGTTCTGGGGACAACTAGAAGTCTGTTAATTTGGCAGTGTTCCTCAGTGCCAGCTGCCTTTATTAAATAGTGCATGTATGTGACTACATACAAGAAAATTGTGGTGGGGAAAAACAACCTCCTTGAAAAATTTCAACAATGGGGATAAATCTGTGCCACTTTCTGCATTCATCATATGACTGTTGGGAAGGTAATGTAAAGACTATTGAGGAAGAAAAATATTTTTTGATCTCTGAAGGGACAATGTAAATACAGAAGGGCAAAAGGTAGCTTTAAAAAAGGAGGAGGAAAAAAAAAAGTGACAACAGGCTTTCAGGGAACAAAACCACCAAACACAGTCCTGGAGGATTGTCACAAAATGGATGTGTTGACTTAAGAGCTGTCAAATTCAGTATCAGTCAGTATTTCACTTTCTCTGCTTCGGCTGTATATGTCTTTCATAGGCACCTAATTAAGTGTAGTTGCTCTTTTAGGTCTCTGTGAGGATGAAACACTCTGAGGACATTTCCCTAGGAACAGTGGTGGAGGTGAAATGGGTCCATATCAGTGTAATGGTTGCATGCTGTCTCGTTTTCTGTGAAAGTCAAGAACAGTGCATCAGATGCTTATTTTAAAATGGAAATGTGGCGTGTGACCTTTTGAAACCTACTGGATTCTGTTGTAGTTGAGTAGCTTGCGAGACTCTGCTAAGAATGACGAGAATGTTGTTGTTGTGAATAAAAAGGTGTAAAGAATAATAAAGCTCATCTTGCAGTGATCATGTTATTCCAGAACTGTCTCCTCAAAAGATTTCTTTTGAAGTATTGAATTTTCCTTTGACTCATTTGGTTTTGGCCACTGCTGGAGACATATACTGAGCTACATAGCTTAGAGGTTTGATCTTATGACTTCCAGGTATGCTCTATGCAGCAGAACAAAAGTCACTTTAGGAACAAGGTAGGCACAGTTTCACCTGCATAGGAACTCGGCAGCAGTGGGATCTATCTGACCTACAAAAGCTTGGTTTTGGATCTTTCAGCCCTTCTCAAGAGGAAACTACCAAGTTTGTTCAGTGTTAGAATATGCTTGAGTAAGTGAGTGTGTTGGCTAACCCAGAGCAAATGTTCCTGAAAATTTCTGATTGGCAAGATACTCGTTACTCTTGGAGCATTTAAGGTTGTTCAGTGGTACTGTAAGATTCTATGCTGGTGGGGACAACATAATGTTATTGTTTGCATTTCTGTGAAATCCTGTTTCTTTTATTTCTGTTACATTCTTCAGAGCTGTCCTGTAGGAAAGCAAGATGAGTGTGTTCTTTGGTGACGTGTGTGTGTGTGTGTGTGTCTTCAAGGAGGAAGTGTGGGTGCATACATAGGATGCATAAAGTTAACATGCCACTTCCATTTGTGGGTACCTTGCCAGACGATAGTGCTGTTGACAGGAAGTATCTTTATTTTGATGGTGGATTTTGGAGATTCAGTTGACCACGTGATGGGGATGTGGTAGGCCATGATGGTTGTAAGCCGTGTGTCTGGGGAACCGAGGGCAGAGTATGTTCGTTGTGCTTGGGAGAGAGTTGGTGGTGCAGTAAAGTGAAAATAGTGGTAGGCTATGTGTTTTGTGTTGCTTCAAGTAAGTGGATATGATGGGAGTTTGAGGTTGGGGGATGAGGGTGTGTATGCAGGGAGGTGCTACAGCCGGGTGTGTGCAGTTAGGTGGGGTGGATGCCTGCAGGATATGAGAGGGAGGGTTGGGGAAGTGGCTTGGGCAGCAGCAGGGCAATGTTCAGTGTTCACGATGAAGCCTTTTCTTTCTCCTTACCCCCTAGATCTCCTACCCCCCAAGTGATGAGGACAGCGATGACTCTGAGGGAGAGAACCAGGAGCTTGCTCAGATCGACAGAGGTAAAGGGATGAGATAGGAGGCTCGTGGGATGCTACAGCTGAAGTCCACTTTGCTTTTCGCTTGTGCTTTTTGAAGTACCTCCTTCTCTGTCACCAATGTACCACAACCAAATGCATTAAGTCAGTCACCTTGAAGCTTTGAGACCTCACAGGGAGAAGCTGGTGTTATCAGATGCTGCAGTCACACTTTGCTTACCAGAGGCAGACATTAACCACATGTTGAGGCCTCAGTGCGGCAGACATGGGGCAGACAATGTATACAGTTGGGTCAGCAGCAGAGCTGGGACTAAAAGCTTATCTTCTATTTCATTCTTGTGCACCTGCATCATCTTTTTCTAGGTTTCCTCTTCGTTGTTGTTTTGAGTTTTGACTTCACTGGAGACTCCTTTTCTCCTGTACTGTCAGTATTGGGCAGCTTTGTTCTTCAATCTAGCTGAAGATCTTTGATAGAGGAGAGACAAGTGCTCTGCTGTTGTTTTTTGGCATGGTATGAAGCAGCTTAGAGCTGCAGGTGAAATCTGTAGGAAATGCATCTGTTGAGCTATGTGCATGCCCTGCATTTTATTATCTAGCCAAGTTCAAGTGGTGGATACCTATGCAAAAGCAGAAGTAGTTAAATTTCTATCCGGCAGGACATGTCCTGTCGAAATTCAAATTGCTGCTCCATGTGCTTAACAGAGAGAGAGCTCAGCGGAAGAGGTGGAGCGTGCCCAGCTTGTGACTGAAGGCAGGCTCTCTTGTGTGACAAGTCTGGTAATGGAAAGAGGACTTTTACCTCCAGATCTCTATTTCTGAGCCACAGATGTGCGTCTTAGAATAGTGTAACTTGCCTCCTCTGCCCTGAGAATTGGTCCCTAGGACTTAACGGTTTTAGCCAGAGACAAGTGCCTGACAACACATTTGTTAGACCATGTTCAGGGGATGAGGTGGGTGTCCATGTTCTTGCTCTGCAATTAGACTTCACATGACAGTTTGTGAGGGGATGTCTAGCACTCTGGTGTAAACAAAGATCTCAAAACTTTCAAAGAGAAGCATTCAGCTGGGAGGTATTTCTTCTGGGGAAGAAAAGTTGGAAAACAGCTCAAGTTTATTTGGGAGGAGATTGGGGAGGGGAAAAAAGGTCAGGAGAAAGCAGACACAGTTTATTACATTGTGGGACACACATGTGCTCTGCCTCTCCTATCTCCTCCTCCCACCAGAGAGAAGACGGAATGGTACCTTGACCCCTCTGGCCACTAACCAGCTCCAGAACCAGGAGAACCAATGCTGCAAGGTTCGGGCCCTCTTCCATGCCAGCCTTGACCGCCACAGCTCTGAAGAGGAGCTGGAGCGCATCAACCGGGAGTTCGCTGCCGAGAAGCGGAAGTGGTCCCAGGTCAGCAGACTTGCCTGCTGCAGCGACAGCAACAATACCTCCTCCAGTGACGACGAAGTGAAGAACTTGTGCACGATGTCCTTCCGGCCTGTGGCAGAGCAGGCTGATGGCCTGCATGCCAGCCCAAGCCCTGTGCTGTTCAGTGCCTCCCCTCCCAAGAGACTCCAGCCCCTTGTGCGGAGCCCAGCCTCCAGACCTTTAATCTTCACGAGCGTTGGGACGGGCCTTGAGCAAGTCATGCCTTGTAAGAGACATCGGCAAGGATACGGGGATAAGGTCAGCAGGCCAAGTCTTGACCTGGAAAAAATGCAGCAGGTAAGGCAGAACTTCGTATGAGGAAAGCAGCATCGCTTGAGAGAAGGTGGTGTAAGTAAAAGGGATTACTGAGGCAGGGTTCAGTAAATTCTTAGGGTTGCTTCTTGTGATCATGTCTTCAGGGACATAACTGGTATTCCTGCTGTCTAGGATAATCTAGGCCTGACTGTAGATACCTCTCCTGAAAGGTAAAGCTGCTGCTACTTGAGTGGCTCTTGCTACCTTTGAGCTGTTCTTGCTGCCCCCATTAGCAAGGCAGCACCCATACTGTCTGGTTCATTGCATGGCACAGGAGGAAATTCACTGGGGTTCGTTTTTCTCAGGTTACCCCTGCTGCCATGATCTGACCCATAGCATTTACTCAAAAAAAAAAAAATTGAATTGCTTGGGGGTCTATAAAGAAATACCTGTGATCAAAGTAGTAGTTGTGGACTTGATGATGATAGGTCTTTCCACACTTGGGCCTGGGTCTCTATGCCTCCTGGAGTTTTACAGCAATGTGAAACAGTGATTTTTACCTTCTTCACACTTCACAAATGCAAACTGTTTATGGTTTGCTCTTGATTTTGCAGGACTTTTGTAGGGGCCTGGGACTGAGATGTGTAAATGTGAAGAGTTGCCTCATCTCTGCAGAGGTACTGGTGGGGTGGGCTGCCCTGCACAGTGCCCATCTGGGGCCCCTCTTTCAGAAGGCCTTGCTGTCCAGTTAGCATTTCAGCTTTCTCTTCATTTTTTTGTTTTTCTTCTTGCCCTAGTGTAATGTCAATTTCAAAGTGTGTCTGCACACATCTGCTGACCCTGGTAAATTGCAGTAAGTTAAAGACAGTTTTGTTGATTTTTCACTTCTGAATTCCCTCACATTAGGGAAGAATTTCACTGCCTCTGGTTGGTCGGATGTGCTAGTTTTATCCTCGCTAACAACACTCCCTTTAAGCCTACAAGATGGACCCACTAAAAGAAAGGACTATGTATTTATTTTCCAAGGTCTGTAAAAGTGAGACCCCTCCATTTCCACATGAGATTGCTGCTTGTTCTCAGTCCTGCTGGCAGCATACATCCCATGAATACAGAATGCAGAGACTTGTGATTTCAGTACGGTTTTCCTCACCCCCCTATGCCCTTGTAGCCAAGTTTCTGCTCACAGAACATTCAAAAGGCCCAGTCTTGCATTTCACATCACCCAAATCTTGTACTGATACTGACAGACTTTAATTAGTCTCACATCCTAATGAGACGAGAAGCCTGGTAAGACTGTGCCCAGCCGTCTTTTTTTCAGAGTGCGTATGAGTAAATGGAGAAATGTTCCTTTTGGCCCAGGTGCTTTCCCTGATTTGGACCCCAAGCATAGCATTTACCTGCGCTGCCTTAAATTCCCTCCAGCAGTGTGTCTGAGAGTGTGTCGGTGAAGGTTAGGGGCTAATTTAAATAAGCTTTCCAAACTATTCTAGTTTTTCGGGAAACCTTGTGAGAACAATTTGCTACCTGGTTTGTCTGCTTTCTGTGCTCCTGGATTAATTATGGCAAAGCTTTTTGCAAGAGAAGTAGAAATCTCAAGTAAAGGTGGAGGTGTGTTTTTTAAAATAACGTTTTTACTGTAGATGTCATTAACACTTCTAAGTTATGGAATTCCTGTTATAAAGAAAGGATATTCAGCTAGTGGTTTTAATATAAAAGTTTACTTTTGTTGGGGTGGGGGAGGGGTGACATGCAAAGTGAGGTGCAGCCTGAATATTGTAACATTGGTTGTTTGCATTACTTTTATAGTTCTAATTGGTCAATTTTCAACCAGTACCATCTTGAATTTCTTTGACTTCTTGCTTGCTACCTGTGCTTGTTTCTGCTACAAAGATCAGGATGGAGATAACAGTAGTGTTGTAGGTTCAGTATTTTACTGATATTTGAATTCCCATCAGCTTAGCTAAAATCAGCAGTCTCATGTTTTTTATGACAGTGATTTGAAGTCTGGGTTTTGTTTTGAGTTCTGTCACAAAATTTTTGTATGAAGCTGGGCAAATCTCACTCAGTACTTCCTTTCCCCACTTGTAAAAATGGGACTGGAGTGTGTGTGTTTTGGTTTGTTTTCATTCTCCAACAAAAATTAACTGTCTGGGCAGTGCTTGGCATCATGTGTTTTTTAGTTGGGTAAACAATGCAAGTGAGGAATGATAATATTAAGCTGGCTACTCTAAGGCTTCATCTGGGCTCTGAGAATCAAACTGTTGTTGCTTTGAGATTCTTATACTTACTATCATGTGCTTTCTCATGAGAATACAGCTAGAAAACTTGATCAGATGGAAACTTTTTTGAGCAGATGTGGTTTTTACTCTTGTCCCTGAGCCTTATTTTCCATTCCTGCAGCTCTGTAGACTTGACAGATGATAAAACCTATCAGGCAAGATTATTTTTTGCCAGAAGGAGGTGTGTTCTGATACAAGAAGAGACTTTTGGGTGCGTAATGTGGTAGGGGTTGTGGGTCAGAGATGGATGAAGAGGTGATGAGTACTTTGAGTTTTTGTCAAATTCTGTTTATATTGGATGATGATGGAAAATTGGTCCAGAGAGCTGTGATATGGAGTGCCTGTGTGTTGGGATGCTTAAGCTACTCTTAGGGTGAACCAAACAAGAAGCTTTTACAGGAAGGCCATGAATCAGGGGCATGTGATGTCCAAATGTCTTCCTGTGTTCCAGTGATTTGGTGCTTTCTAGTAAGGAAAGGAAGAAAATTTGGGAGAGTCAAGTAGATTGGGGGCAATCTGAGTGCTTCTAAGTGGATATGGAATTACCGTCCTTCTACCTCCATGGCCTGTGGATAAATGGAAATCTCCGTCATCTGGAGCTTTCAGTTCAGTCTCCCTCCGCATCTGCCCAGGAGCAGGCTTAAAAAGCCCAGTTCTGCATAGGTGCCAGGCCACACCTTTCCAGCTTCACAGGGTGATGTGATTCTGCCCTTCTGTGCCCCAGCCATGAGTTTGGACAGTTGGTGGGTATATTTCCCACTCTAGTTGGCTGGTCAGATGGCTACACAGCCTTTGCCCTATTGAGGCTGAGTGAGGACAACTCAGTACATGCTTTTTTTCACTCCTCCAAAGGTCTAGAAAGTTAGCTCAGAAGATTTCTTCCTTTCTTTCTCTTAATTGGGCAGAAATACCCTGGCTCATGCAGATGATGCCCATGTTGCTGCAATGAATGTCTTCTCACAGCTACCCCTTGATCATGGTCCTTGGACAGCAATGTCCCATGCAGGCCCTGCTGCCAGCCACTTGCTATTTAATGAAGGCTGGCATGTCCTAGAAAAGACTGTGGCTGCTCCCACTCTAGTAACTTCAGCAAATCTGGCTGTCTTGGCAATACTAAGAGCATGAGGTCAAGGAGAGTAAGGACCTCCTCTGTTGGCTTGGGGTGAAGGTATCAGGAGGTGCAGGGGTTAGCTGAGGTGTAAGGAAATCCAAGGTGTCACAAAGATTCCTTGGAGCTGCTGAGTTTGTTCTCAGGAGATGAGATGAATTGGTCTTGGTGTGTTATGTAAACAGAAAGAGAAGTAAATTGTTCATTCTCCTGTTTAGTGGGACTCTCCGGAGCTCCTCTGAAATCTCAGCAGCTTGAGAAGTCAGAGTGTAGCATTTGCAGGAAGAGTGATCAGAAAAGATCTCTCTTGGAGGAAGGCAGCTTTGAGTTGGCACAATGAGCAATCCAAGTTGTCCTCATTTATGTGAGAGTAGGTGGCTGGTGAGGAAGGCATTATTTTGAAGTGCAAGGCACAGTTTGGATACTTGGGTATATTTCCAGTTATGTTACAAAGTCACTGGGTAGTTGTGAGCAAGTTGTGAAACCTTTCTGCCATGGTTTGAATGCATGCATGAGTACATAATATCATTGTCTTATGGAGGCTTACTACGTTATTTAAAATGCTAGGATGAAAAAGGCCATCACAGAAAATAAAAACACATTCTGTGCTAATATTTGAATTTCACACTGCAGACACTGCACGCTTTTGGTAGGTGATTAGTTTCAGTGCCCAATGAGTGAGTGGAACTTTGTCTTGTCTTGACACTGAAAATGGCCTGGGTACAGAGTGAGCCTTGATCTGGGATTAGCTGTGTATTACCAAGCCAAACAGTCATTTTGCTTAATAATTGAATACTGGCATTTTGGTTGGCCTATATCTGGTTAGGGCAATTGGCACTGAAAGCTTTTTTTTGGGCCGATACTGGCTGTGCAGCCGTTGCAGGACAGCACTTGCCACATATGACACGGGACCAGTATGTGACCCTTTGCTTATGCTTGAGTCTGGCCTTTGGACTGCTAATGGCTCCTTAGCACAGCTGGGTTTTGCCCTTACCTGTCTTGGCAGGACTTGACAAATAACTTCCAGATAGAGAACATACGAGCTCGCGAGTCCTTTTCATCTCTTGGCGTCCTGTCTGAATCCAGACCTTGTCAGTTCCTGAAAATTGCTGTCATCTGTTTGCCCATTTGAGCTTACCTCTGTGCTGAAGGGGTGCCAGGAATCCCGCTGCTGGTGCTGGTAGTTTCATCATGGTCTCTGCCCTGGGCCTCACTGTCCAAAGTGACTGAGCAGTGTTCAGGGGCCTGTGCCGAGTGTAATGGCGTACACGGTCTCCTAAGAGACTCAGTGCCAGCACTTTTCTCTCCCAGGTGTGAAAAGTCGGGCTGTAGCAGTTCTTTGTCCCCAGGTGCAGTAGAGCATTTGTTGAAGCAATATAATAAGGAAGCTGTTGCAGAAATGGGTTGTGCCATTACACAATGAGAAATTCTGCTTCTGGTAACCTCCTGTAATTTTGCTTTTATTTTTCACCCCAAGAAATATCCTACAGCAGCTGTTCCTCCAGCACAGAAGCCCCTGTCTGTCTTACCCCTGCTAGCATTTGGCACTGAAGTAGCTAGCAAAACAAATGCTATGCCTGGCTGCTGCAAGGCAGTCCTAGCGTGAGAAATTTTGGGGCTGAAAATGATTGATTAGCTTGTCCAGTCTACTTGTT